TTGTCGAGGAGGTATCCACAGGTCCTATGACACCAGGTTTCCCAACCCAGACATTTTTTTTGCTCGATATGTCAGGGCACATGACTTAGGCGTGGGGGTAGCCAGATTGGTATGTCACTTGCATCACGTTGGCCTAAGTCATTAGACAGTAGTATAAACGTGTTTTGAACCAGACCAAGCGAAACTGTGACAGACGCAGAGGCAAGCTCTTCGGGAGTCCACTGAATCGTAGTTCTCGTGAAGTCTCAAAGAGAGTTTCCGCTCTTCGCTGCAGGTGAGACAGTGCAGTGCCTACCGTGTGAGGCTCTGAGTTCCACGTGAGGCTCTGTTGGGCTGCGCCTGCCAACATGCAGAACCTGAATCTCCGACTCACAGATGGTTCTCAGGAAAGCACAGAGACACTCTGCAGACATCCCTAGATGAAAACTGTAAATACATTAAAACACATATATATATATACATGACATTACATGACTATGTATATGGATGGGCAAACTGCAATCAGCTACCACAACTTGATATACCATCAGTTGTTATCCTGGCCCTGTGCATGTCAGCGTCCGACAATCTACCAAGACCAAAATTGTCAAAATAGTCACAGGTTGGCCGTAGGCCGTGGGATAGGACACCTGCATGAAACCTGCATAATCGATGCCCGTCAAACATGTCCCTAGTCTAGACAACAGATTTTGTCATCTGGCATAGTCAGTGGATATTGTATAAATATAGAACCACACACATATATAATATATATATATACACACACTCTCGAGATAATGCGTACTGACACGATTGCGGTTTGCCACAGACCAGCCTAAGTAAAAAACCAAAGGAACCAGGACAGGTGTAAGTAAGGTGGTCTAAATATCTTCGAAACCTCAAAGGCCTCCAACTCCACTGTTGAGCATCTCAACGAAAGCGACAAATGCATGACTGCCGAGCGCATAACCGATGCAAAGGCTGGCAAGCTTGTTGTAGTTAAACTCGGGCCCAGTGGTGAATGAGAAGTCATCACAAAGCAGGTACGTCATCAGGCGTCCCTGATGATATCCTAGGATCGTATGGGGAGCTTCGTTGGATGGAGCCTCATACGTCCTCTCCATCCCCCTGCAAAAAACCAACTGATTCCCTGCGATTCCAATGGCTTCACACACACACACACACGTAGGGCATGGCCAAGCTCAAGATTTCAGTGCTCAGCAGCCCACGAAGTCTGGCTTGTGGGGAAAGCCCAACGCACTACTCTTGCAGCACCACGGTCTTCCACCAGGATCGGACTTTTTCATCTACGGGACACTCTTTGCCCGTGATTCTACATGGACCTCGAGCCCTTCGTCCTTGACCTCTTCGCTCCAACGGGCTTTTGGTCTTTGACCTTTTCTTCCTTGCCTTGATTCTGTCCAGCCTGGACATCTCCACCTACCCAGACACTTTTTCCGTGATCCCTTTTGATTTTGATCCACCTGGTCTTGGGCCAGATCTTGTTTGCGAACGGGTTCATGACTTCGTGAGGATGGCGTCGTTCCTACCAGGCTTCCTCCTCAATTGGATTTGGCAAGAAAAATTCGCAAGGCTACACGTGTCGAAATGTGGCAAGCAACGGGCAAAGCCTGCAGCTGGCCTCTCACCACCCACTCAGAAGATGCCGCCGCTCCTTGAAACAAGTGCTGATGACCACGCCTCCGGGTCACTTCGCGAAAGGAGCAGCCCCACAAAGCTCAAATGGCTACCAGTGAAGCTTTGGCTTCATCCAGATACTTAGGCACCTGATCTTCAGCAGAAGCTGTGCTATGAAGGTTCTCGGGAGCAGAAGCACCTTCCGCCTCCAACATCTTCAAAGCTGGCGTGCAAGGCTGCAAAGCCTGGTGAAATTCAAGAAACCCTTAACTTCTACACGTCCAGCAGTGCACCGAGCCTCAGGTCTCCTGCAAGTGATGACCTTTGGGCCAACTTGGGAGGCAATGAGACCGGACATCCAGCAGCTCTTCTGAGCCCGAGCTCCACATGTACTAGAAAGTTGTCAGTTAGGCGACACCGCCCTCCAATACTACACTTGTATTGGAAAGTTGCCAGTTCTGAGGCCGGCGCGCCAATTTGTGGGCGCTCCTTGCCGCTTTGGCCATCTCGAGCCTGGCCTTCGGACAGGGCATTCGAGCCACGATGATACGCTATGCCACCTTTCCGGAGGGCTCTCGCTGCCACAACACAATCAAATTTCTTCATAGCGCAGGAAAACACGCGCGCAGAACGAAGTAGGGCATGGCCAGCGCTCACCATTGCCAGCGCTGGTGGCAGGTGGACGCATAAGACCACACCTGCAGGCCCCCGGGTCCCCATTTTCAAACCCAAAGATGTAAGGGGTGCACGAAGAATGTTGAGCAGATGTAGCCAGGGCGGGCTTCAGCATGAACCCGGCCGGCTTCAACCTGATTCAGACGGTCATTTTCGCTCTGTGAGGTGTTTCCATCCCGAGGTTCAGGTTGAGCGCGCCTGACTGAACCAGCGAAAAACAGTGCGCCGTGGGCACTACACGAAGTTGGCAGCAAATGAAAGGAGACCATTTGGTAAGCGAAAAGCAGGAACCAAAGTGTCCTTTAATCTGTGATTTTGACAGACGTGTGAATGAGTGCTTCGAGTTGTTTAATATTTTTGTGATGGTTTCCTTTCTTCTGCAACGCTTACAAACTGACAGTCGTCACAAGATGTTGCCTATTGCAGGCCTGAGAGTTCTTGGTTTGCTCCTGCTGAACCACTGGGAACGGAACCAACATTTTCCCACAAAAGATTCCCTGTTCATGCAGATACTGTAGCTTCTTGGTGTGGCAAGTTGGTTCCATTCATTCCCATATGGCCCTCTTAGAGGAGTGCCTTCCTGTAGTCGGGGTTGCGTACCGGATGGGTGTGCAACTTTGGATATTGGACAGTGCAGATGGAGCACGACACATGTGCTGAGTTATCATGTGGACATAGCACCACGCTTGACCTTTTATTAAACGGTGTGATTTCTACCTCGAAGATATGAGAGGAAATGAACACCCGCAAAGATGCGTGTGGCGAAGTCCTCACATGCGGTTCGTTTTTTCTGCCAATGTACATTCGCTTGCATTTTGTGCATTCTTATTCACATTGTTGCAGTGACCAGTGGACACGTTGTGAATGTGTTGGAATGAATGATTCACGTGACATGGGTGGGATTGCAAAAAGGAACGCTCACGTTCAAAGATCAACATCAACCTCCTTAGAACCACACGGTCTCAAAACATTGAACTGTCCCGTTGTCAGAACACACATCGTTCATCATCGTTCTTTGTTTTGGGTTGGTTCCTCGAAATCGAGGGGTGGGTGTTGTTTTTTTGATTGCCGGAATTCAGTTGGATCAATGAGTGCAGAAAGGTTGCCATTGATGTATGTTTTTGGTTGCTCAATTTGACACTGCATCTGGACACCTTGCCGCTTCTCTCAAGTCCCCGTGCACGTCCGTGCATCCAATTCCTTGGATCAGTCGTGCTTAACATTTCTCGAGCTAGAGTTCATTGCTTCCGGCTTATCAGGGACTTTATCCCAGGTTCAAGATCATTTGTTGCGGTGGCTCGATTCTGTAGGCCTCAATCACCAAAGAGCAAAGGAACCAACCGGACTGATGTTCAGCAGCATATGTGATTTTGCTCCGAATTTCAGGTTAACTTTTGCAACATGTTCAACATGCTGCAGAATTGAGAGTTGCCTTTAAATTGAAGTCAGGGGGCTTGACAGATTGTCGTCTAGCCTATTCAGCTGGTCTCCCTGGCGAAATGATATTCTTGCCACAATGAGGTTCAAAACCTCCTGGCTGGTGTGTGTGTGTGTGTGTGGGCACGCGCACGCGTGCACTCAACGAATGGTGCTCTGGAAGTTTGAAGTTGTAATCTCCATTGGTGCCGAAGTTTCTTATGAGTCTACCGGGCGGCACGGCTTGGTGATCCGAACTTATACATCACGTATCCAAGAACATATATTTGCACAGTCCCCATGCCATCGCGCTACAAGAAGAACATGTTGTCCAAAGATGATGTGCATGAAAAGTCACGACACCTTTCTGCTCTTTGAAAGTCTGACAGACTGAGCCGACAAAGTCTGATCAAGTGATTTGGGCTTTCAGGACCGGCCTTGCTTCAGCCCCCAGCAAGAGGGACAACCTTTGCATGGACGACCTTTGAATTTTTGGGACGAAGTCGGGCAAAACTGATGGAGCGACATCATGGCTGTTGGACTTACAAATAGCTTTGCCAGATTTTGCCAGCATGAATCAAAGTTGGAGAAGTCCGATTTTGCCCTGCTCTTGTTTTGACCAGCGGGGGCACTTGCGGTAAAACAAAGGTGCCGTCCATGGGAGTCTTTTCTTTTGGAAGCAGAAGCACTTTGCCACGCCTCTTCAGGTATAGGACAAACTTGTCTGAAACAAACAAACGGTTTGGCAGCACTGACTCTTATGCAGATAAAATTTCGTTTTGACAGGGAAATGGAAGGAACCTGAAACAGTTTGAATGGGCATTACATTTGATCTGAGTGACAGGAAAGGATAGGAAAGGAAGGTGGCACATGTGGCAGGAACATGATTATTTGCGCATGAATATGATGCATCGGCGGATGTTGAACCAACTAAAAACCAACAGTTGAGGCAGGAGTCAGTGAGGAACGAAGTAACCGTTTCAGGTCAATTAATCTAACATCCAACTCGATCCCCAAATCCAACATCCCACACCTTGCAGGTCCACTTCGGTCCTAGATCTGACCATTTTGCTAGGTAGGTGGAAGGATGACGCCGTGATGTGAGGGCCTTCAGGGCGTTTGACCATGGTGGCGACGATCCCAGTGAACGATGGGATCGGTTAACATCCCTCACAATCCATTTTTCTGATGCTCTTCACCTGCGCCCACAGCCAATTGGAACTAGCTATCCATTTCCGTCCTGGAGTTTGGACCCATCAGCCCCTCCTCTTGCACCTGCTTGAAGCTTGCAGGCGGCCAGAATACAAGGCCATCAGTGTGGAGAGACGCGGCCAGAAACGCTGCGTCAAAAGAAGCTTTGCCATTTGGGCGAGCAGGGTGCTACTTAAGGGAAATGTGAGAAATGTGTCTTATCGACTCGTGTACGTAACCTCAGAGCATCTCAGAGCAACTGGCAGTGACATTTGACACACAAGCCCTTGACTCTGAGGGTACGACGCTTATGTTATTTTTTGATGGCCTGCTCAACTATCTTGGCTTTCAGCAGCTTCGAAACATCCGGAGCTGAACAAGCAACATGTAAGACATAGACATAATCCATTGAAACATCATTTCATACGTACGCGATTTACTCTAGATGAAGACCATGGTGCTGTAGCAAGACTCGGTGTTCAAACCACAGTTTACTACACAGCAAGCCTCACGGCCGACTCCCCCCGAATTCATCCAGCCTGACCTGTCCCATGGATTTCAAAGCACGTGTGCCTCGCAGGTGCGGATTGTTTTGGACCAGGACGTACTTCACCCAATCTCCTGGTCGAAGTGAAAGCTCCAATACTTGCACAGCCCAGCTTTTGCTTCAGTGCTGCTAAACATTGTTCATGTTGACAGAATTTGAGGTCTTCTTTGTTCATGGCAACTTGGTGTCGCCACTGGAGGAAATGACAAGCCTGCAGCAGCCCACCATCATCTCCAGCCTCTGGTTCTGCATTGGTCGATGACGTGTTTCAATCTTTGGGCGGAAAAAGGTGCTATTTAAAATGCTAAAAGAGTCATTTGGGAACGATTCAAAGAGGCCTCCAAACCCCAAATAGGTTCTCGTTCTCCTCCATGCTTCCTCTCCCCACCCTTCTCAGACTCGACCTCGTTGAAGCAAGTCCCATTTTGATTGAGACAGAGACCACCCGCTCGTACCTGTTTGACCGGCTCGGCCTCGTTATTCAGGTGGCGAGGTTTATATCCTCAATGGCAGCACAGGCCTGGTGACTTGGGGGAGGGAGCAGGACTTCTGGCTTGGCAAAATGTGGATGTACTTGTGTTTATGGTGAGATGGTTTGAGTGGGTTGGTGGTTGGTGGATTTGCATCAGCCTTTTTGAGCCTTTGTGAGAACTTGTAATTATATCCACTGTTGCGCGTCGGTCATTGCCTACCTCCAATCTACCTCGGAGTCACTCTCGGAGTCATGTGCCAGGGTCTTTGTTGTTTTACACTGGTCTTCAGGAAATCTGTGCAAAGAAAGAGACATTGATAGTGTCATTCCCACTCAACATGACCAGTAAATACACAGATCTTGCCATACAATGGGGTTAGCCTTAGCTCAGACTGCTAGACTGCTAGACCACGGGACCAGCTTTGCGCTCGGCTCAAGGCGGCGAGCTAAATCCGGTGCCCTTCTTCCTGAACAAGGCAGATGAACAGATTCTTGATACCAGCTGAAACCATGACAAGGGCTCTCTTTGGCTCTGATTGTGATTCTCAAAGACATGGGCATTCTTTGCTCCATGCGGACTTGCAAGACGACATAGCTGCTGTTTGCATGTCTGCCATTTCGCGACCGTTTGAAGTTCCATGTCCGCTCCGGTCTTTGGGCAACCGCAACGCCGTCCTTTGCGCCAGAACCTCCGGGTCTTGTCCGCCAACCTGGACCGGGCCTTTGTGGCAGTGGAGCCGTCGCTCGCCACTGATCTGGTGTAGCAGCCGAGCGACATCAATGGTCTTAACATGGTCTTTACATGTCTTTGCAATCAGAGATCAGAACTAGTCTGACTTCGATTGCAGCACACATGGCATCGGAGAATTCGTCGGAGAAAGGCTTGTCTTGGGGCCATTGAGAGGAAACAATGTGCCGAAGCCAAACTTGTACCTACAACCCCATGAAACTTGTGAAACGATGTGAAACGAAGCCACTAATTGTTTTGGAACTAAATGGGTAGCTGGAATCGGTGTTGACATGGGCCAGCGGATGTTCGTTTTTGTTCGTTCATTTTGTTCCTGAGGACACTGTGGACCAGCCCTGTAGAAGGGGCTTTGCCGCCGTGCTCGGCTGGGAGCCTCGAAGGTCACCCAGCAGCTAGGTGCTTGTGCAATCGCTTGACTTCCATTGACCATGTGCCATGGCGGCCATAATTAGTCTCTATCCACGGTGAATGTATACTATACTATACTATACACATGACACATATCTACCAACGCATCGCCTTACCTTGTCCTCTTTTAACCAACCTAATCCTATGTATCTAGTCCAATGGAATCTTATCTTGTCTCATGCATAATGTATCGAATGAGCCATATCCCATCCGGTCTGGTCCTGTCCGATCCTACCTTATCTAACTCTATCTAGGTCTACCTGTCGTAATTATCTGTCTGTGGTACACGTGAACTTGCGAACAGGTGCTGTGTTTCAGTCCTTTACAGAGTTGGACTTATATTCACAAGTCCTCAAAGAATTGGGTCGGCCGAGCGAAAGTGACAAATCTTAGGTCTACTGCTTCAAGGCAGACCAATCGGAGCCAGAATACTGCCCGGAGTTTGAAGTCATCAAGGCTCGCCAGCAGAGATGCGTTCGACAACTCTTTTTTTTAACGGTGCAGTGCTGACGAAGCGCCTTAAGGCGGCTACAGGCCTTTCAAAGTCACCAGATCTGTGGTCGCAACGGTGCACATAAGATGCTTTGAACTTGCTGCAATCTGCTTGTATCAAGTTGTAATTTGGAAGCAGGATGTGAAATTAGTTATGAGCGGAGCAGCTTGCTTTGGGAATGAAAGCTATGCTAGGCACCCATTCGTCAAATCGCCTTTGGCTCCAGTCACACGTGGCTCGGCTTTAACAGCTTCTCTGGTTTGCTCGCTAACTCCGTTCGATCCGCGTCAACTTTCGGCTGCCTTGCAGCGATTCGGATGCTTTTGCAGGTGGCCTCTGCGTGCGTTCATGTTTCACTCTCTAGAGGTGCTTGATATTGCCTTGATAGTACTTGTCATACTTGTCTGCCTGAGGCTGGTGTTGACAGATGATGGTGTGGGACTCAGTTTTGGAAAAAAGAACAACATGAAAATGAACCATGCGGATTGCCATGACTGCCTTTGCTTATATGTATATAACCAGTTTTTCGTGGAGTTACTAGAGTCGGGCAAGGTACTGTTTTGATTTGGATCCCAAAGATGATACAAGCAAACTCGACAAGACTATGCAATGCCGCATGCAAAGCGTGCATCAAGCCCAATGCATACATACATATGTACATATGATATACAGTTATACAAAAAGATATGTAATGTGTATACACACATACATATAATGTGTGTGTTTCGATGTGCTCTCACACTGTTGAGGCACACTCTACAGCCGGGGTGTGGCAATGTATGGCAGCACTGGCCACGGGGGAGCACGGGATGTCGGAATTCCCAGTGAGTTTATGTGGGGTTCCAAGTTCACCTGCAGGAGCTTGAGTCTCTTAACGAACCGCTTGGACATGGGAATCGTGACCTTTATCCAAAGCAAAACACCTCATCTCGGCGGAGAAGGATCCCACAATTCGCTGCTTGCGGCCAAGATAGATAGATAGATAGATAGATGGATAGATGGATAGATGGATAGATGGATAGATGGATCGATGGATCGATGGATGGATAGATGGATAGATGCATGGATAGATGGATGGATAGATAGACAGATACAGTAGATAGACGTCCTGAAATAAATACACGTACCAACCACTTGCTAAATTGGCAGAGCGAGTGGTCTTCCTGCGGTTGCCAATCCAAGGATGCTTTTTTTTGTTTAATTTCTTTTTTTGGGTAGCTTCTCGTTCCTAGCAGTAAGGCCAGGAGCTACTAGCAGCGTCCTTGCTCCTAGTAGCGATGCCAGGAGCCCCTATACTAGCTTCTTGTTCCTAGCAGTAAGGCCAGGAGCTACTAGTAGCGTCCTTGCTCCTAGTAGCGATGCCAGGAGCCCGTATAGTAACTTCTTGTTCCTAGCAGTAAGGCCAGGAGCTACTAGTAGCGTCCTTGCTCCTAGTAGCG